TTTTGGTGGAACCAGGGATTGAACTCAGGCCCTTGTGCTTGGCAGGGAAGTGCTTATTCCACTGAGCCATCTCCCCAGCCCTCAGATTTTCTTTGCATGTTAGTTTTGGTAAGTTGTATAGCTTTAGCCAGGCATGGATGCCATGCATATTTTTAAATCTGTTGGTATGGTTATACACATAGCGATGACCTTACAGCAGTTTCTGGTGTCCACAGGTTGGTCATGACGTCCTCCTTCTGTTCCTGAGGTGCACTCTTTGTAGTTTTGCCCTTTTTCTTACTCAGGCTGATCAGCTTCGTTGGCTAAAGAATGGGCTTGAGTCATCGATTCCATGACTTCGTGTTTCTCTGGGTTCTCTTTCCACTACTTCTTCTTTTCTACTTTGGGGTCCTCATTTCCTGTCCCTTTTTTTGTTTCCTTGAGATGAGCGCTTGGATCCCTGCCTTTCCTCTTTCTTTATCTTATCAAACAATTTAAGGAAAATTATTTCCACCTGGGCACGGCTTTGGCTACTTACACCCCTCTAATATTATTATTCAATTGGAAACATTTTTCCCACGTGATATCTACCCCAGGGCTAATAAAGCTTTTCATCTGACTTCTGAGTCCACAGATATTTTCCAGGTATCTTTTTTGTTATTGATTCTTAGCTTAATTACTCTGAGGTAAGAAAACAAACTATGTTTTGATTTCAAGTTTGTGAGATCTGTTGAGACTTTGCTTGGTAATACCTAAAAACGGTACTTTAAAACACCGTGTGTTGGCAGCGGTTAGCTTCTGAGTCTTGCGTACGTCTCTGCAGGGTCAGTACACCTTGCGCTTCTGTCTCCTTGCTGTTATTTTGCCAGCTTGCTCTCTCTCTCGCTGACGGGTGCCGGCTGGATCCACCACTGTGGCGCACTTGCTTGTTCCCTCCAGTGGTTCTCCTTACGCCTCTATCAGCTCCGCGTGAGCAATCTGCAGCAGCATAAGTGCCACCAACGCGGACTCCTGTCCTTGGCCCCTCTTGCACTGTGCCATACCCGGCTCCGTGCCAGCGGCTTGGCCAGGTCTCTTTTTCTGATGTCAAAGGAGCCACCGCCGCTTCTTCTGACTGTATTTTGCATGGCGTTTTTTCCCTGTGAGTTCACTGTTGTCTTTTCCCTATTCTTACGTTTGTAGGTAGAAGAGTAAACTGAATGTGGTTGGGTTATTTCTTTAACCTGTCATATTTTTCTTAATTACATGTTACATCTATTTTTCATAATTACTGATATATTTGCAAATCTGCCACCCTACCCAGTGAGAAATATATAGTCCACTTATTTTATATTTTCCTTTGCCTTTTCTTGCTTTGCTTGGCTTGATAATTTGGATTATTCCATGTTTCCATTTATTATTTTATATGAGACTTTCTAAAATAAGTGTCTTTGTCTTACCAGTGCAGCAGGTCGGCTGTCCCTCACCCAAAAATATAAAAATTGGAAATGCTCCAAAATCTGCAGCTCTGAGTCTCACCCTGCTGCACGGGCGGGATGCTGTGGGCCTGACCTCCCTGCTGGGTCACAGCAAAAATATCGCACAGTGATACCGCCCAGTGAGGTGTGTGAGGTGACGCATCCATGAACGGGGCGTGTGGACTGGGGCCCCGTTCCCAAGATGTCTCATTATGTGTGTGCGAGTGTTCTAAAATCGGACCCTCTGGGTAGGAGGCACGGCTGGCCGGAGTGCTTTGGGCTGGCGCTCAGCCTGCGCCACCACGGCATCCCCACCGTCCACGGGAACTGTGCGTCTCCCACCTTGTCCGCTCACTTGTTCTTGGGCACTGCTAGCGTCACCCCCGGAGGTGCATGCTGCTGGGGCGCCTGCGCGCTCTGCCGCCTTCCCAGTCTTCATATTTCCTTCAGTTCTGATGTCTCCCCTCAACTTGTCTTTTGACTAGAGAACATGACGGTGGCAGAGTCTCACTGCTTTTGTATTTTTGAAAAATTCAACTCTACCTCGTGGTGGCCACTTTCTAAAAAAGTGAGTAACAGAGTTCTATTTTCTTTTAGCACATTAAAAACATCCACACTGGCTCCCAAGCCCCGCAAATTCCAGGGCGGAGCCAGGCCTGCACCCCTTCCTGGGGGCTCTGTCCTCCAGTTGGTGTCAGGGTTTTTCTCTGTGACTTCCGGTTTTGGTCTCTTATGGTAAAGCCCTGCGGTGCCTCTTCCTTTATATTTATCCAATCCTGAGTCCTCTTGAGTCTGTGTCTAGATGTCTGCTGTAACTTTTGGGAGATTTTTCTGCCATTATCCTTCCAAGAAACACTGCTGCTGCATCCAACCCCCCGTCCTGCTCCAGACGCGTGGACACTTGGCCTGTGCTGCGCTTCTTCATGGTGCCTGCCCTGTGCTCTATACTTTCCTTACGCATACCTTCTTCTGTCCTTTTGCTCCCATAAATCCTTCTTCAAATTTTTTCTGATCTGCAGCTATCTTTACCCATGGAGCTCTTAATTTTGTCATGTTTCTCAACTCTAAATTGCCCAATTTGTTCTTCTTTATATCTCCTTGAATAAATTGTCAGAATCTTGTATTTCACTTGCTTAAACATAGTAAGCACAGTGATTCTAGCATCCGTGTCTGGTGAGTCTGTTACCTGCGGCCCCCAGCGGAGGGGCTTGGCAATCACCTGCTGCTTCCACTGCTGCACTTACTCTGTCCTCTTCCATCTCTGTGCCCAGACACTGGCAGGCCTGTGCTAGACACTAATGCAAAGGAGACGGAAACCTGGCAGGGTGCACACCTGGAATGCCGGCCCGTGGAGGCTGAGGCAGGAGGACCACAAGTTCCAGCCTCGCCTGGCAGATTTAGTGACTTAGAGAAACCGTGTTACAAAATAAGAAATAAAAAGGGGCTGAGGATGTAGCTCAGTATAAAGGCCTTTGGTTCAGTCTCCAGTACAGAAAGAAAGAAGGAAGAAGGAAGGGGTGGGAAGAGCATCAACAAGAGGTGAGAATTCAGTGGAGGAGGACTGAGTCTGGCGGGCTGGCAAAGCCGCCCCTCACCTGTACCAGGTGCGTCTCCTGGACCTGGGGTGATGGGGCCGCTGCATGCTCAGAGCCTGGGACACAGGCTGTGGCTCCTGCTCCACAAGGCGGGTGCAGCCCAGGCCCAGCATTGAGCTGGGGGATGCCGACCTAGCAACTGCCTAATTGCAATCAGCACCAGCTTGCACCTTCTAGGAGGATGGGGATTAATTGCATCAGAAGTTGTTTCATTAACATGCCAAACAAAAGGTGTCATTAGGTTTTCAATTAGCGCCTTTTATCTGAGGCCTCTGGACTGTGAGGAGCTCTGCCCTCTGCTCACAAGGGGCGAAGTTCCTGCATCCCAATCAGGGAAGAGGGCAGCTGAGCCACCAAGTCACAGGGGCAAGTAGGGGGTGGGCACCTGCCCTTCAGCACCCAGGGCCTTTACGAAGGGTGAGGATCCAGCAGAGGGAAGACACTCTGGCTGCCACGGGGCTGCCCTCTCAGTGCCTTCTGATGGGGCGCAGCTTGGGCTGGTCACACAGGCTGCAGTGAACGGTGACGCCTGCCTGCCTGAGTCTGAGGCATCGAGGGGCTCACCCTGAGCCTCCGCTGTTGGAGATCCTGGTCCACACACCCAGAGGACATACAGGCCCGCCCTCCCCCCAGGACCCACTCTTCCCTGGCGGTGAGGACTGTCCTCCCCATCTTAGTCTTTCCTCTCATGCAACCATCTACTTCGACTCCATACACAAGATGTGACGCAGGCCTTGCTTTCCCAAAGTGGGTTCATGACACGCTTGTCTTAACATTGTTCCATGAAGACTTCCCCAGTCAGACAGGTTTGGGGAAGCTTGCAGAAAGTCTCCTCATCAGAGGCTTGCAAGGCGCCTTTGGCCACGGCAGGCTCCAGGCAACTATGCTGTGGGGTCTGTCCAGCTTTGTCTAACCCTCCTCTTCCCGGGCAGCACGCACGCGCCTGCTCGGCTGTCCAGCACAGTGCTGCCTGACAGTGATCACCCAACTGGCTTCTGAGAAACTTCAGGAGGTGAAGGACCCGGAGCCCTGCCTCCCCACCTGCTGGCCTTCTCAGTGTCCCGTCCCAGGCCCAATGTTCTGCTCCTCCCTGTCCATCCACCTGAAGCTCCCACACCTGGAACAACACAGCTGCTTAAGCCCGAGGTCTGGCAGAGCGTGGATGGGGTGGGACAGGCTCGGTGGTGGTGCCACACGACAAGGAACAGGTGGATTTGGGGGATGCACAGGGTTGCTGAGGCATCTGGGCCTGGGTGGAAGGGAGTGATGTGGTGGACAAGGGGGCCCTCAGGTCCAGGGGAGTGAAGGCACCGGCATCACTCCTTCCTTTCAGTCTGCCTGCACGGGCATGTGGGTGCCTGGAGGAAAGCGAGGTGGGTATGTGTGTGCGTGCACGTGTATGTATATATGTGCACACATGTGCATGTGTACACATGTGCATGTGTACACATGTGCATGTATGTGTGTGCGCTCACGTGCACGTGGCTGTGGGGCTCCGTAGCACCAACTGCTGGCGTCTGAGTGGAGCCCTCCCTCCTTCGCTCGCTCCCTCTCAGTGCTGTCTGTGTTTCCCTCCCTCTCCTTTCTGCCTCTCTCCTCTCTCATCCTCCCCCCATCTCTGTATCTCCCTCCAGATGAGCCTGCCAGCTCTGCAGCGTCTGCTCTGCTTGTCTTTTCCTGGGGCTGTGAGGGCCCGGATGGTGAGTGCAGCCGTGAGGCACAAGCTGTAGTCTGTGCTGTCCACCTGAAGGTGGAAACGGGGCAGCTTGTTGGGAAACTACACAGAGTCTGACGTACACTGCAGGAGGCCCGCATGCCATGGCCCTGGCACAGGACACTGCAAAGGCCAAGGCACGCGGCCTTCTCTGGCACAGAGTGCTGTGCCTGGCATCGGGGACCTGGCAGGACCCCTACTCAGGCCTTCAGGGCGTGGGACTCTCCGTCCCAGCGCAAATTCCACTACCCTTACCTTGTGCTCAGAGCGTGAGGACCAGGTCTGGGCCACCAGCAGCCGCACCATGGTGTCCCACTGCTTGGCCGTCTGGTGGTCCTTGGCTGTCACCGTGAAGGCCACCTGCTCAGAAGGGATCTGCAGCTCTCGAGTGGCGAAGACTGTTCCGTCTGCCCCGACTTTGAAGTCCAAACTGTTGGTCTCGTACTGCGTCCCCTTGGTCCCCAAACAGCTGCTGAACTTAACTGCAAGAGGAGAGGAGGACACAATCAGGAAGGCAGTCACCAAACAGCACTCTAGGTCTCCAGGGAGCACTGGGCAGGTCATGACCTCTGAGAAGGCGGTGGGAGTTAGCTGGAGGCCGTGGGAATGGAGGGGAGGGAGAGGCTTCCACGCATGCCCTTCTCTTGTGCAGCCGCGCGTCTCTGCAGACGCGTCACCCCTCCTGCCGTCACTTGCATCCCGTGCTGGGCTTTCGCTACCTACGAAATGCTTCCTCCTTACCTGCTTCTGTCACACACCCTTCCCACCCCCGCCGCCTGTGAGGCCGGAATGGATGGATTTTCCCATACAAGAAGACTAAATGAAACAAAAGAATCAAAGAAGTTGGCACTAACAGACTGGTCCCGGGGCAAGCCGGCTTGGGGCGTGGAACTCAGACAGGCAGAATTTCCAGTCTTTTTTGCAGTACTGGGCATGGACACCAGGGTGTTTGCACTAAACCACATCCCCATTCTCTTTTGTATTTTTTTATTTTGAGGCAGGGCCTTGTTAAGATGCACAGGCTGGGCTTGAACTGTGATCCTCTTGCCTTAGCCTCCTTGCATGTCGGGATGACAGGCTGCCCCCCTTGCCTAGCTGGTCCTTGCTCCCTAGCAAGGGCCTGACACCTGGCCCACCCAGGCTGTCTCGGTTGGCTGCACACAGGGTTGAGGCAGGCAGTGTGTCCGTACCGCTGGGGCTGCACTCTGCCTTGCTTCAAAACATTAATTAGATGACCGAGTTGCCACCCACCTCCGTGGGGCTCCAGCGCCACTGTGGCCACCGGTAATGCCCCACAGAGAGCCACCTCCAAGGCTGAGCATTCATTTGTACACATTAGTGTATTTTTTATACATGTGCTGTCGCAACGGTCACCTAGCGCGGTGGCAAATTATGAAGCCAGTGTCACATTCTGCTGATGAAAATGATGGATAAAGTTACCTAGTATTTATAAAAATGTGAGTATCCAGGCAATTATGGTAGGAGGATTGGTTTTTTAAAAGCAATTCCACTGTCACGGCTTACATGATTTAATTACTATTTATTCTAAAAAATGAAAAAAAGCTACTTACTATTAGGTTTGATAAAGCGCTTTCCCCTTGCGTTCACCCTTTATTGCTGCTTGTCTTGAAATAACAAATAACCCCCACGTTTCCTCGTCTCTGATATGTCACTCTAGAGGGCTCCCCACCTCCCGGCACCTCCCACCTGTGACTTTAGTATAAAAGTGTTTGAGAAGTGACAAAATCAGGCATCTTTCTCTGTCTGGCCGACAGGCCGGGGTGGCTGGGGCCCCTGGGCTGCGGGGACAGTGGTTTCTCTGACAGGCAAGATCAGCCCCGGCCAGGGGTGGCTGCAGCTCCCAGGAGCTGTCCCCCACCGGGCGGGGAGAGAAGCACTCTGTTTTCAAGCAAAAGGAAGATTCCAGACTGCCTTCGCTGGACCGTTCGCCCCAATAGTAAACAAATTAAAACCAGCAACAAACTGAGTGGCTCAATCACTTCTGACACCCATTGTTAATGACATAGCTAAAAATGACAGTCCTGTGATTGCCAGGAGATTATAACAAAATACATGAATAAGCCCCTTTGTTCTCTAGCAGCCAATTTCTAATAAAACTAATGGATGTGGACAGCGGCAGGGGGGTGGTGGTGCGGTATTAATGTTGTTATATTTTGCACAGAGCAGGCATCGAGCTTTGGTGACGTCTCTGCAAGCTCCAGGGCTGCACGGAGAAGAGTTCACGGCATCCGAGCTGCCCACGCAGGGCAGGCGTCCCTGTCCACAGGAGCCCGGGAGCAGCACCCTGAGATTCAAGGCGCTGCCTGGGAGGCACCTGTGCTGCACAGCCTGGCTGGATGGAGGGCTTCTCCAGATTTCCCACCTGCCAGCCCAGGTCAGACCCAGGCCTGAGGATGCTCACAGCCGGTGACAAGATGCCTTCCAACCCCTGGCTCCCACAGATCCATTGCTTCAGTGTCGGGAGCTACACAGGGCTGTGGGGCCACCGCTTGTGTTTGAGTCTGCACTGTCACCGTCAGATGGCAGTGGGACCCTGGGAGCTGTGGGGGCCTCGAGGGCCTGGTCCAGCCAGGCGCCCACTTGCCAAGAGAGGACCTGGACACGGGGCACCTGGGGTGCCCCAGGAGAGAGGAGGGGCGTGAGGATAGTGCTCATTCCTGGACCTCCCTCCTGGCTGCACTTTCTCTGAGTGCAGCTCAAACGGGTGCTCCTGCTCCTCTGAGACACAGGGGAGAAGAGCGCAGCGCAGGGCATATGGACTCGCCCGTGAGACTGCTGCTTGGTGCACATGCTTACTAACGCTTGTCTTACAGAGAAAGGGCGCAGCGGTGTGCAGGGCCAGATCCATGGAGGAAGTGTCTGGGGCCGTAGGATGGAGACCCCTCTCCCTCAGAAGCCCGTCTGTCCTTCTGTCCGTCTTTACCGATTGCCCACAGCTGCTTCCCTTTTCACCCTGGCCTCCGGGAAGCTCAGAGGCCAGGTCTCAGCCAGCCTCGTGGGTCTGAGCCTCATGCCTCCCAGTGCGCGCTGGTCTATTTTCCGGCTTTGTTTCTTTTTCCACCTGGCTCCTCCCTCCAGCCTCCTCTTTCATTTTGGAGGCTTCATCTTTTGGCAAGGAGGAATGTACCCGAGGGGGTCAGGAGAGGCATGTCAGGGTCGGTGCAAATCCTTGCATCCGGAGGGTGCGCTCCTGTGGCACTGGCCAGTGGTGAGGGTTTTACTCCAGCTTGTCGGGGGGATGGGCTCCCCCTCTGCTCTGGCTCAGCGGAATCCTCTCACGACTTTGCTGCTCACCCGTCCCTTGTGAGGCAAAAACGCTGCAGATAGCCTGCCGCCACCGGCTTCCCGGTCCTGTGCTAACAGGATCGGCGAATGCTCTTCTTTAAGTATTTGCTTTTGATCTTGTAATTTCTCTCAGTCTTCCAGAGGAAATGAAAACCCTCTGGGATTCCCCAGGAAACTTCCCTCATGTGTGAGATAAAACCCACAAACGTCACGGAATATTCCTCCTCTGTTCTCAGTGCACATCACAGTCCTATCGCAGCTCAGCGCAGACCTTCCAGGCCTGTCCTCATTTCCAAGTGCTGCGCTGTCACTGCATGGGTCGCCCTGCCAGCACAGAAAGGTAGTGCTGCCCCCATTTTGTAGATGAGGAAACTGAGGCTCTGGGACAGGTCACCTTTTCTACAAGGTGGCACTAGGAGTGGGATAAGAGGCTGGACACAGCGCCTGTCCCCAGGGGCTCCACACCTGCTTCTCCACGGGGCCAGCTACAGGGCTGTGCCCAGAATCTCCCACTCTGCATCCTGCAGGGACCTTCCTGCGGCTCTTGTGTCTGCACTAAGTCACCAAGACCACAGCCTGCCAGCCCTGGAGAACGTGCATCCCCCTTTGTGCAGCCTCTCCACGCTGGGCTCTGCAGCAGAGCGCAGGGAGAGAGTGCCAGCCTCTGCCTGGCCCTCAGGGGCGCAGTGGCCCTGGAGTTGCAGAGCAGGGAAAAAGTTCCTGCCTACAGAAATGTAGGCAGGGAGGTCTGGGCTCCCATAGGTGCGTGGACTTGGTCCAGGAGAAGGCGGTGGCCTTTCTGGGCTCAGCGCGTGGGCTGCCTGGCGCGGGGACAGCTGCCCTGCTGCATGCGTCTCTGCGGTTTGCTCCGTCCTTCTGTTAGTTTGAAGCACACTTGGGAGGAGTCCTGGGAGACAGTGGGTCCAACGGGTGTGCAGTCCAAGCCCAGGCCCAAAGCCCTCAGGAGCATGGGGACAGCGGGGCTGAGGGAGGCGTCCTGCAGGCCACACACCCGCACATCATGGTGCTTGGGGCTTCACACAGGCCGGCTGCCCCTGCCCCACAGCAGTGGCTGACAGGCAGTCCAGGTGAATTGTGCCAGGTCTGCAGACAGGGCAGGACACGCTTGCCGCCTGTCGCCCTCACCTGCTCCCCTCCTGCTGCGTGTTAGGAATGTATCTCTGCTCACCTCGAGGATGGTGCCGTGGATGGCACCGAGGATGAGGCTCCCCCGCCGGGTGACCTCCTGTCCCCCACCCCAAGGCTCACGTGCTGTGCTGCCCTAAGAAAACCCCTTCCCTCCTTGCCCCACAGCAATGGCTCTGGCCACGAAGGCTCAGGTGGGCAGCACCGTTCATGCGTCCACCCGGCCCGGCAGCCCGCGTCTGTGAACCCCACCACTCAGCGAGCACTCAAGTGACAGTCACGAGGCTGGAGAATGAGGTGAGGAGCAGAGATGGGCAGGCCGGTGCCCACGTGCAGGGCTTCCCAAAGACAGAGGCCTAATGCCCTGCAGGCATCCGAGGGACGACAGGCTCTGGTGGAGGGCCAGGCAGGGAGCACATCCCAAGGGGCATGGACAGCACATGCAAGGTCCCCGAGCAGTGGGGGCAGGGGGCTCAAGGGCCCGGGAGTGGTGTGACAGGTGGAGCTGGGACAACGTCCCTGACAGAGACTCCCCCTCTGTGGAGGATGTGATCCAGCTGCTCCGGGGGTGCCTGAGCCCATGGATGGTGCGGGACATTCTGCATACACACACACACCTACGATAAAGTTTGATTTGTAAGCTCTGCTTAGTAAGAAAGACGACAATAACCAAGAGCTGACAGAAGATACGACAGTGCAGTATCATAAAAGTTATTTACAACATACACTGTTTGGGCTGTGGAGATAGCTCGGCGGTCTAAGTGCCTGCCTTGCAAGCGCAAGGACCCAAGTTCAATTCCCTGCGCCAGCCCCAGAACCCTGGGCACGCCATGCAGGCCCCTGAAAACGGGCATGGTGGGACACATGGGGAGGCTGAGACAGGAGGATCACTAAGAGTCCAAGCACCCTAGTAAGAAGATTTTTAAAAATTACACACACACGCACACACACTGCTTCTTTCTGGCATTTTCCATGCAGTCGTCTGGGCCTTCATCGGCCATGGATGACGAAACCTGAGGAAAGCAACCCA